AAATAAAACAACTGAAATTGCCTAAATAACTTTCAAAGCACAATAAATCACTACAAACATAAATCGTATACACATAATACACCCCCCGGAAAGTTAACTCTATGACTGATTGACTGACTGACTGATGTGAATTTTCCCAGTCATCACAATAGTGCACAGTTTCAAAGAAACTCTGCACTAAAAATTATTAGAGACAAAATGAGATACAGTAGTTTGAGTAATAACATGATGATAAACGAACTGTGAACAACAATTACAATTCAAATACTGTAGTCAAGCAAGACTTTGCAGTAGTGAAGTCATTTGATGGGCGGGCGGCACACATGTCCGACACAACACGGCACCAGAACTGGCAGAGCACCCCCCCCGCCCCCTACCAGATCATGCTGATTTTCTAGCTCTATTTCGCGTTTTGGAAATTTAAACTTCCAAAAAGTGCTGATTTTGCAGAAATTATGCACATTTCTTTCTCATTTTTGAGCGCTTATAACTCAAAATAGGATCAGAAAAGCATAGTATCCCCTTGATATATTTATTCACTTTTTATTCAGTTTTTTCTAATGGTGTATGGATCAGTTTTTGGTAAAGACAAACTCGAAATTTCACTTCTATGGTTAGGATGTCCTAGCTATTTATGGTTGTATATCACAAAATTTAATACGAAAAATATGATTCAATATATCAATAATTATCTGATCCTGATTACATTTCCATATCCTGATTATTTACCATATATAATCATATACTGAATTGTCTCACAGTCTCCTCTTATCCGCTCACCTTTCGTACGAGAAGTTCTAGATTAGGTTCAGGTTTGTAGGAAACGGAAATAGAACCTGCAAATGACATTCCAGGAATCATTGAAAATGAAAATTCCCGGATTAAGGTGGCAACGACGACCTTAATTTCCATCAAAGCAAATCTGTAGCCGATGCAGATTCGAGGACCATTGGAAAATGGCAAGAAAGTATAACGGTTGTTGGGATTATCTATAGAAACAATAAATGTTGTGAATTAATCAGTTAAAAAATTATCCTCGTTATCTCAGTGACAACTCTTAGATGAGCTTATTAACTACTATTGTTTAAAATTAAATATCTTAAAATAACACAGTATCAGCGGTATGTATGTGCTAAGCGTTTTAATTTTACGCGCCTTATAATTTTATCAATGATATTCTTCAACAAGTTCTGTGCGAAAATGCTTACAAGGGACGTTTTTGTCAACTTGGAACTGTAATCTATGCAGATAGTTCCTCCCTCTATAAATGGATAGGTCTCTAATTTAGTAAACCACAACTTGTTGATATCCATTACCTTTAGCAGACACTACACCTGCATCTTCTGTAGTTCTACGCATCTTCTGTAGATCTTCTGTAGTTCTACTGTCCCACACACTGGGATATTCGTATTTAAACGGTTGCAGAAGTAATTTATGGACTTACAGTAGGCGCCGCCAATTTTGCACTTTCATAGCCTATTGGAATGTATATACTGGGACGTATGCAGAATGACGTTTCATTGTGGTGTGTGACCACTACTTCGTGATTATTTGCTATCCTTTCCTTAGTTTCCTATCAAGATTCTCGCAAAGCATCCTGGCAGTTGTGGTCACGCAACACAAAGAAATGCTATTATGCATTAAGTCCATTTTCCGCGGCAATTTTTTTCGCGGACCAATCACATTGTCAAGATTTGTTTTGCGCTTCGCGCGAACAAATTCGCCTGGTGGGGAATGGGCTTAATTTGAATTCCCATTTCAAACACACGCAGAACATACAATACAGTATTTTGTAATGCATTAAACTTTTCAATTATATTTGAGCTAATTAACTGGGATTTTGATGACGTCACAACAGGGTACATATATGGCTGTTGAATAGTAACGTGGTTGATTCTATTTCAATGAGAAAAATTTTAAATATGTTTTGAATAAGTTTAAAAATGCCAGGATTGTAGTAGCATTTACGACATTTACAGGTTACAAATACAATTTTGCCTGGTGTTCATGAATATTTTCTAAATACTGAGGAAGCAAATATACACAAACACACAAACAATTTAACAATATTAAACTGCAAACTTTTGAAATAACACAGCAATGCCAGTTTCATTAGCTTGACTGAATCACTTACTTGATTCCAGGAACCTATCCGGATTGAAGGTCTCCGGATCCGACCAATATTCAGGTTTACGATGGAGAACGTAGGGTGGAATGATAATCACAGAGTCAGCAGGTATGTTGTAGCCTAGAATATTATCGTCTTGAATTACCTTTCTACGATATACAGCAATTGGAGGTCGAAGACGCATTGACTCGTTTATCACGGCTGTAAGATACTCCATTGACTCGTAGGCTTCCCAACTTCCTTCTTGTTCGGTTAATGTCTCTTTAACTTCCCGACGGATTTTTTCCTGAATGTCAGGGTATTGAGCAAGATGATAAAGGATCCAAGACAAGGCAATAGAACTTGTTTCGTGGCCAGCAAATAAAAATGTGAATACCTCGCCAAATAGCTCTTCTTCATCCATACCTTGGCCAGTCTCGTCATCAACAGCCTCAAGAAGACGATCCAGTAGGTCTTTTCGTGTAGTAGAAATGTCTGGCTTCTTTTCACGTTTACCATCGATTATCTATACAAATATGGTAACATGACTGGGAAAATGAGAAAATGTTTTACAATTCCGAGTTACAGACATTATGGTGGCGGCTAGAAAATAATTGCATTCACGATTGCCCTTGCGACCTATGGTGTCACGTACCATGGTTCATGTTTGATCATTCATGTTTATATGTCATGCTTCTAGGCAAGGTTATAAATCATTTTAATTAGCAAATAGCCGGTTCCCCTTATTGCGTATTCTGAATACAACTACCAGCATGCTTTTCGGACGTGTCATTGCATAATGAAGAAAATACCCGCAAAGTATCATAGTAGTTGTATTCAGAATACGTAATAAGGGGAACCGGCTACTTAATTTCAATTTTGAGGTAAATTAAAAGGACAATGGCAAATGATGATGAACCGATTTGATAATCCAAAGCGTGCAAAGTAGTAAAATTGTAGGGTGAATACTAACGTAATTACAATACTCTAACTACAGTATGTTGAAGGTTATCTAGTGTAGATACTCAATTGCATGATAACTACGTCAAACGTCCCTTCAAATTAGTAATTTGTTGTTTGTTTTTTAGAATTGGATCAAAAAGGTGGTTGTATAGGTATTCAGATCCTGGAATGCTGTGAAATGGCCCTGCTGACCTGTTGGGACATTCTATTGGGTGAACATCAAATGGTGTGTGGAGTGAAATGAAATTTCGATTCAATGTGACTGATAGAATTGGAATAGTGTAGATAATGATGATTTTAGTGAATTATGTTATGATGATGCATGGACTGTAATGATGTTGGTGAGGCTTGATTTATAACGCAGATATATAAAAGTGATGATACTGGTGATATAAATTAATTAATTAATTTTCTACTTTCTGATTCAATTACTTAGTTACAGTTATTATCGGGTGAATTCTTGTTATATTAATGTTTCGTAACTGACTGGGATTTAGCCTTCCAACGAAATTCTGCGAAAATTTGTCTCGTAGATAATTAAATGCAACATAATTGTTACAAGTACGACGCAAGAATTACTATGATGGCTCTTACGACTAAGCTACCTCCCACCTCAGTTTGAATAAAAGAATTGTTATTTTCAAAACAAAAAGAGATGTTTACCTCAATACTAGCTGCTCTTACCTGTTTGATAACGCACGAAATGGTTTTAAGCGCTTCTTCACGTTTGATGACACTTTTCATGAAGCATTTAAGGAATGGGAACCACAGGAGTAGGTTTCGTGAGAATGACTTTGTAGTCGGATTTAAACCAGCGCATAAATCAGTGAATGCACGGGATATTATGGTATCACCTGCTTCGATGGTGTTAAACTCAAAACCAAATACACATTCGCCTAACGCATCCAAAGACATGCGATTCAAATCGTTTTGCACAAACAAATGGCATTCTTTTTTAGCGTTGCTCTTTGACTTCGCACTGATAATGCCGTTCCAGTACTGAAAAATAAATATATGGTACATATAAAACTGAATTCGGAAATTCAGTCTATCTTATTGGATTCTTCTGACCCCAATATGGCAAAATATTAAGTCGAGAATTCAATACTGGGCGAGACCGAAGGTCGAGCCTAATATTGAAGTCGAGACTTAATATTTTGCCATATTGGGCGAAGATGAATCCATTAGGAGTTTTATTATATCGAACAAAACAATTCTATAACAAAAATTGTCAATAAGCGATAAAGTAAATACAGCGAGACTAATACAGCGACAACATAGTACGACTGTTTGATTTACTATAGCTTAAAAAGTAAAAGAGCTATTACACTTAAATAAGTCACCATATATTCCACGATGTTTAATTTAAATTTTGATATATGTCTTGTACCTTTTCATGCAATATTGACTGAGAAACTGTGTTTAAACTTAAACAGACATTTTTGGAACCGCCGAGAATTAGCTGAAAAGGCCCTATTAAAACCAATTGAACAACCTTTACCATTTTCTTGCGATTATATTGTTTCAATTAGTGGGTTGGTTTGACGAGATCAGAGACTTTTTTTGCCCCACCCAGTATATCGGCGGCGAATTTGCTTAAATAACTAAAACAAAAGTTAATAAACCTGTTTTTACAAATATGTGTGCATAAATGCTCAATTCATGTATGTTTAAAGGAAATTTGACCTAATCTTAACGAAAAAAATAAAATTACTAACTTCTAGGCGGTTACAAACAAATAAATTTCGCGAAGACAAGTTTTTCCGCGCTTTTATAATTTTAAACAAAACTGGTAGAAAAAACTGTATTAATGTCCCAAATTCTTTTCATTATTCTGCCATATCGTTTGTCATATGTTTGAAATTGACAAAACATCTGAAAAGGGTTGAAAAACCATGAAAAAAACCACAATTCGCAACTGTCCAATAGGTTCCTGTCCAATATCGTAAAATATTGGATCGGCACGTGACCCTCTCAACGATTACTGATTGGTTAAGTGCATGTGAGTGTATAATAAGAACACTTCCTGGTTCATTATATGCAACGCCGTGTTTGGAAATTTATAAATGCTTGGAATGTGCTATTTATAAATTGATTCGTGTAATATTGTGACTTCGGTAAAGAATCTTTTGACAACATGGGGAAAATACATGTCCAAGCGGGGAAAAAATCTGAAGGACACCAAGCACCGAAATAAGTTTTAAAACAATGGCATGGGTGGACAAGTATAATATGGCAACAGTTAACGTTGCGCATAAGTCAATCCAAATTTGAATTCTCTCTTCAGTTTGTCCAACAACGGAGACATTGAGAAACTGTAAACGTTTTTTAAATTTCATTGTATGTAATTTACACAATTTCTGTTGTTTCTGTAGGTCTTATTTCCTGTTATTTTAGTGGTGTGCCTGATGTAAAATGTGGTGCGGCTAAAAACGTGTCTAATTATACGCTATATATAGGCGCGAATAGGGTACGTAATTGTTTACCGCCTTTCTATAAAGTTTCTGTTATTGTCGTTGCAATAGAAGTGTTGATAATATATTGCAACAATTCATTATCTAACATTAATCAATTTATTTGGTCAAAAATTGCTCAACTTCCTGTTTACTGGCATGCTTGTTCCCAATTGGTTAATCAGTCACTGAAACGCAAAGCCATTGGTTGATTCAAACACACAGGAAGTTGATCAATTTTTCAACGAATGAATTGATCAGCTCTAAGTAAATGAATTGATGCGATATTTTATCAACACTTCCATTGCAACGACAGTAATGTGTTATTTACTGTTTTAAGTTTGTGTGAACGAAAATGTCCGGCTCAATTTTTGTCGATATATCTATAAACAAAGTAATGCCGGGCTGTATACAGTTCCCAAAAGACAATGCACTAGCTGTAGTTTGTCGTGTTTCACTAACACAATTCGGAAAATGTACTTTAAAATGTACTTACCAAAACCACACGGCCAGTGGCTGTGGCTAACTGGCCTAAAATGAGGTTGTGAAGCTTTCTAATAGGGAAACGGATACTGCATGGATCCAACTAAACGCATGATATTTATATCCTGCTTAGCTGGTGAGGGTTGGGGGCGAAGTTATATCCTGCTTAGCTGGTGAGGGGAAACATCTACCCTTTAAACTATCAACTACCAACTACCCTTAAAATCAACCTTGAAATCAACCTTATTATCAACTACGCTTAAAAAGCACACATTTATTTACCTTTGCAAGTACTTTAGCCTTGTCATCAAAAACCTCAACCATAGCTTTCAAATTATTCACTTTAAATGCGGGGTTAACCATTTTCCTCATTCTGGAATGATCTTTTCCATTTGAGAAAAGAACGTTCTTGTGTGGGAATAAAGTAACACGTTCTGATTCTACTGGTCTGTGGTACTTAAATGACTTGGATACCAGGATTTGTTTTATGGCATCAGCGTCACTGATCAAGTAGTATGTTTTGTCTGTAATTTAATTAGAAACACGTCAAATATCACATACGTTTTGCAATTTAGCCTGTGGAGCCGTTCTCGTCCCCCCTTAGCGAAAGCCCCCCTCCCCTTGTCGCCGTCCCTGAGGGAATGATTCACCTACAGTAAAACACGGCTTTCGTCGATAAAGGTTGTTAAAATTGACCAATAAAAGCTTGGATGAAACTCAATGTGTGGAAAATTCCGGGCGGAAAGAAATCTATTTATCATTGATTTATTTTTACTTTATTATTGTGTGTTTACGTATGAATAACTGTGTATGTTTTAAATGCAACAAGCTCATTAATGCTAATCACCACGCGACAAAATGCAATCATTGTCTAGCATGGTTTCATACGAATTGTTCTGGCCTGAAATTTAAACAAGGGTGGGTTGACTACAAAATTATTGTAGTTCGCTATAACTACAGCTACTTCAAAAATATGTAGTCCGCTACAACTACTGCTACTTTTGAACAAAGGTAGTTCGCTACTGACTACAGCTACTGCTTAAAAAATGTAGCGAACTATTTCGCTATTTCTCTAATCTACATTTTTTAGTTTTACTGTATTTGGAGCATCTACTATTAACTCAGACTGTAATATAACGTATAACAAATTGACTTACGAGTAGCAACAGACAACAGTAAACACAAAGCAACATTTTTGTAAGCACTACAGTGCCC